TCTGCCTGGTAGGGCACGTTGCGCCCCCAGAGGCTGCATCTCTTCCAGGTCATAATCTGCCCTGTATTGCTGCCTAGATTGGAGCAGCATCCATCAGAAATTTTATTACTAATGCATTTTATAGCAGGATTCATAATAAGATATTAAAGACTCTAAGTGTGGCCAGACAGTGAGGTGTAAATATTTTTAAAAGGCCCTTTTCTGATAACCTGTCCTTCAACTTTAGCTGCCCTTTCTCAGAGATTGTTGTATAAGGCTATGATGTCTCATCTGTCAACGTGCCACGGTTAACATGGGACTCTGTGTCTGGTCACTCATGCTGGAGGTTGCATGGGAGGTGACAACCCAGGCCAGGGGAGGTTGTTTGCTGCAGTGGGCCATGCTTGGTCTATATCCATGAGAGCTTTTGGGTGGAAACATAACTTCTTTCTGGTCACTCAAAGGTGTGTATTGCCTTGTTGTACTGCAGCATTGGTGTGACGGGTAAGGTCTTAGTCTCTCCTTTGCCTTTTCTTTGTGCTGCAATGTCCATTGTGTTTGGACAGGATTTTTAGGATTGTTCATGCCTTGTTTTAATCCAAGTCTATCCTTGCTATTGATGATACATTGAAATGGAGTAGTCTCCTCTTGTGCCTTGCTGCTTTTGGTTTGGTCTTCCTGGTGCTTTGAGTAGACATGTGTAACATGCTGTTACCGTTCAATTTTTCTTTCTGGCAAACAGGACCTCTCCGAACTTCTTCCTTTAAGATTTTTACAACAGTTTGAAACTTTCTTATTCATTTATTGCAAAATGAGGGATGGCCTCACTACTTTGCACCCAAGCATCCCTTGTCCATGCAGTTCAGCAGTACTGCAGCTGGTTGATGGGAGCCCTTTAACTCCCGAAGCTGCCTGGGGAGACCTGGGTGCTAGAGCTACTCCTGCTGAGCTGTCAGATGAAGGATAGGGTGCTGGAGACAGGTCAGGAGTGGGTCCTGCTCCCGCTTGCCCTCATTCTCCTCTGCAGGAGGCATCTGTCTGCATGTTTATTTTTATCTCGCATCTGCTGGCATCATAACAAAGATTTAATGATACGACACAGTTTTGTCACCAGTTCTTTTTTCTGTAGTGAGTGAATCTTTATTGCTGGCTGCTGGAGGGAGTCGAAAGCTTTACAAATGACAGAATTTGTTGACTTGTATAGAAAACTCACCTATTTTCCACATGCACCTGTAGGCTGTCGTCTGTCTGCATTTCTTTTTTTCTGGACAGAAAAGATAGAATTTGCTATTTTTGCCTGTCAGTGAACTCAGCGTAACCACAATTAATATTTACTAAGGAAAAATAGCCACAAGGGACACACAGAATAATCCTGTAAATGGGCCAAATGCTGAAAATGCAGAAACACAGTCAATCTTGAGCTGGCCTGGTGCAGGGCTTACCAATCGCATCTCCCTGGGACGTGCCCTCTGCCTGTCATTTACCATCAAACACAAACCCCAGCCAGTTCTGTTTGTACAGATGTTTTGCTCCATTGTTTAGATGATGGGCTGCATCTTTTGAGAAATAAAGACCTCAGCCTCCTGCTGAGGAATATCGTGAGCCTGTCTGACCCAAAAAATGGCAAAAGGATTTTAAAGACATACTTCTTACGCTTTTTAAGGCAGACAGTCTGAAATGCCTCTGAGTCCTGACTCTGTCTTCCTTGGGCATGAGCATTGAAAATGAGACCTCTTCTCCTGGAGGCCTGTCAATATGGGATGTCTGCATCCCACAGGTGGTTTTGCCATGACAGAGGTTTGTTTTTTTGGGGTTTTTTTTTGGTGGTGTTGTAGGGTTTTTTGCTTGAATTTGAGCTGGGGGAAAAAAGATGCATTATCCAGAGCACTTCTTACAGGTTTGCTTCCTTTGACCTGCGTGCTGTCAGGAATAAGGGTATGCGTTTGGTAGTGAAATTTTCCCACTGACCTGTGTACTTTGACCAGTATCAGAGATTTCCTCCTCTGGGTCCATGCTGTTTTGATTCAGGCTTCTGTAATGCTGCTCCTATTGCCTGGGAGCCCTTCTGCTCCCCTCCTGAATTCACCCCTGACATGCTGTTCTTGTGCACCCGCCCTCGTGCTTGCAGGTGCCCACTGCCCCCCATTGAAGTCGTGCCCTGGGGTCTGTCCCAGCCCCTCGGGTGCTTTGGTATAGATGCCTATGACTGTTTCCCAGGGCCAGCCAGCCCTTTGTCCAGAGCTGATACCCAGCTTGCATGGCTTTTGCTATCCTGGCCAATGAAGGGACCTGGTCAGCAAAGCTGTAAAATGAGGATAAAAATATGGTAATCGCCAAGTTAGAGCTCAGGCAGTGTCTGCAGGGGCCGGAGCTGACAGTACCAAAGCTGGTGACCTCTGTGTCCCTTCAGACAGCTTCTCCCTTGGAAGGACAAGGAGATGAACTCTCTTCAAAGTCTGCTTTTGGGCTATTGTATGAAATACAATGCTGGGCAAATCGAGCTCTCCTCTTTCACAGCCAGCCACACAGCCTCGTAATCACGGGTGACCAGAGCGGATTTGCATGTTAAAAGGAGTGGCTAGGGGCACTTAAAAAGAAGAGAAATATATTCATCAAGTCCAGCTTTATCTTTATGAATATTATTATTCCTGGGGACAATATATCCCAGACCTCATCGGTGAAACCCTGCATCTACTCTTTTGCTGCCTCTCCCCTCCTCCCCCTATTATTGGTTAATTTGTAATGCTCTTCCTCCTGACATTGATACCCCCATGGCTCTGGGGGAGGAATTTGAGAAGGCAGTTGTTGGAGCATGTGGACCACGACAGTTAAAGCAGTGCCCTGGCAGCAGTGAGGGGAGGGCTGCGGCATGCTCTGAGGCTGTTCCCAGCCGATGATGGCTTGGGGGAGGCAGGTAGCCCAAAGAGGGATTGGAAGATGCTCTGGTCCTGTCTGATGAGGTGTCTTGGGAGTGCTCGGAAAGCAAATACCCACCACAGACCCCCCCCCAAAGGGCTTCTCCACCCCAACACACCTCTCGAGCTGACAAAGTCCTGGTTCCTGAGCAGTCTAAATGCACAAGCCAGGATTAACATGCTGTGTGCCTGTCAAGGGCTTACACAGCAGCAGGGCAGATCTGGATTAAGCTTGCCAGGCAAAAGGTGGCAAACCACTGGGACAAACGGGCTGGGGAGGATGTGGTTTCTCTGTCACTAGAAAGCTTTAAGGGTGGGAATGATTTAGGTGTAGCATGGGGACAGGGTTCTCTTTTTGAGGTCCCTTCTATCTATGTCTTTTCTGAATGCTGATCACAAAAAAACTTGAAGGTGCTTTAAAAAATAATCCTTAGGCCATGCCCTGTGAGGCTTTCTTTAGCAGCTTGATTTAGGGGGGTGGGGGGAGAAGAAAGCAAATGAAAAATCTAGCTGGGAACTGCAACCTCTCACATCTCTGCAGAAGTGACACTGAAGTAAGGGAAGTGGAATTTTGCTGAAGCCCAAAGAGAGCTTAGATGTCAGACAACCCTGCAATGCCATGTGCCTGGATGCGAGGGCAGGGAGGTGCGAGGGACAGGTGCAGATGAGTGTCCAGGGCCTGGACTCATGAATGTGAGTTATGGGATGTGCCCTGGGTTCCCCACTCTGCCTGACCAAGCTCGCACCAAATCCTGCCTCCTGCCTTGAAGTTTTTGCTGACCTGAGCCTTGCTGGGGGAAATTCAGATGCTTTGGTTCTTTTCTGATGCCATCACCCAGTATTAAACTGGTTAAACCAGATCTGCAAGTGTAGAGCCCTGGTTTCTCATGCTTTCTAATGGAGGTGGTGGGCTGGAACAGCCTTGCCAAAGCCCTGGCTCTGGTTCACTGCAAGCTTTGTCCATCCCCAAAAACCTGAAAATGGCTTAGTTCGTTGCTCAGCTTTAGGCAAGGATTTGCAGGAGGTGCTCCACTTGGAAGCGGTGCCCCATCTTCTAAGCTCTGCCTCTCCTCAAGTCTCCTTTCCACCTTCTCAGCACTTCATGATATGTCTCTACGTGCTGAAGATGAGTAATTTAATATGAATGAAGTTAACAATAAAATGCAGAGGCTTGGGTAGAGGTTTGCAAAAATAATCTATATTATCCCAGCTGGCCATAACCAGCCACTGTCACATCTCGCTTCTGACCTTTGCTGTCTGCTTTTCAAGTTTTAGCTTTTTGTCAACCATTAACATGGCTGCGAACACGTTACAAATGTATGGACTTGCCCAAGTGGTCGTGATTTGTATGTACCTGCAGCCCGAGTCCACAGCAAAGCCTTTTTGCTTGTGGTCTGTGCTTCTGCCTTTGGAGAGATAAGAATGTGCATTTAAGATTTGCATAGGAACATGCAGCTGTTCCACCAAAAATGGATAATTGTTCTCCCTGCTGTGAAGTTAAACAATAAGAAGTGCCAAACTGCATTTACCATTGCTGATTTTGTGCACTCAGCTGCATATTTTATGCATGTAGATTAGTTCCAGATTTATGACAGTTTAACTGTTAATGCCTGCATTAATTGGGCCAGGTTCTAGTTTCTGTGGAAACTAAAACTTTTAATTTTACATGAAGTTCTGTGTTGTATTTAATGCTTTTTTGTTGTTGTTGTTTGAGGCTCCCCTATATTTAATGACTTATGGTGAAAACTGAGAGGGAATCAGGATTGAAGATAAAAGTGCCTTTGGGCAGAAAACAAGTTTCATCAAAGACAGTAATTTTTCTGGAAAGTTGTCATGTCTGGGAAAATAATGGTTTGTGATAGAGTGTGCCATCTTGACCACAGCTATATAACTATTATTATAAGTGTGTAACAACCATTATAGCTGCTGCAATACTGTAATAAAGAAAACAGCTGTATAACTTATAAATGTTCTGAAAATATAGGACTGAAGTTCTTTACTCTCTAGATAATCCTTCTGGTGAGCAAAGGAAATTGCTGATGTGCATTTGATGGGAAAATAGGCTGGTGCACGTTTTACCGATATTCTTATTTATTTAATTTCCAGAATACACCAGTGGGCACTCCAATTTTCATAGTGAATGCCACAGATCCAGACCAGGGGGCAGGAGGCAGCGTGCTTTACTCCTTCCAGCCTCCTTCCAATTTCTTTGCCATCGACAGCGGCCGTGGCATCGTGTCAGTGATACGGGAGCTGGACTATGAAGTGACTCAGGCGTACCAGCTCCAGGTCAACGCAACGGTGAGTCTTATCCTGGCTGCTGCAGGGGAGGAGGTGTTTTCTGGAGTGACTGCAATGAGGAAGAAGTTGCTGCTTTCTTATTTTATTGCCCTACTCTGGCATCTTCTCCATCTAGTGTTCTCCACTTAGAAAGATATAGCACTGCGGTGCCTGGGTAGTTTTAAATTGCTGCTGCACAGCTCGTGGAGCACAGCTGCACCTCTCCAACAGCATCTCACTCATGTTAGGGGCTTCTGCATAAATGCGAGCAGCTCCCTTGGTGTAGACAGCCAGTACAGGGTATACAGACCATTAATCCTCCAGTCTCATTCCTTGTGCACCATGGTTTATATCAGATGGATTCACCTGTATTAAACCCCATGAGCCTCACTGAGTGAAAGCTGAATTTGCACATCAAGAGTTAAAATTTTGGTGAACAGAGAAACCAAGGTCCTGATCACAGTTAGTATCGCTGTACTGGGAGGGGGCCCCTGGGAGGTGTGTGACCAGGGAGCCACCATGGCAAATTCACGCCCCACTTGAATGGGAAACTTCTTTCCTGGTGTCAAATCTAGTTCAATAGGGAGCGTGTGAAGGAGGGGTACTGCACAAGGAGGCGCTCTGGGTGATGGCTCCTTTCCCATCTCAGATGAAACAGAGGAAGGTGAAATTCAGCCCTGTAATACATCTGTCCAACTCTGCATTCAGGAGAGGGGGGGAAAACTCTTCCCAACCCTTCTAGGCAGCTGGCTAAAGCTCTTGAAGTGTGTGATTTAATCAAGATCATTGTCTGGATGCAGAACAACAAATGCCATGAGAACGTAGCAGGCTGTGCAGGGCTGCTTTGCTCTCCGCAGCCACAGAGGCTGGGCATTTGCAGACTGCAGGGCCACAGCCAAACAGCTCAACCTTTCAACCCAATCCTTGTATGTTTGAGGCTGTGAAATTTTCCACAGAAATGTATTTTTTCTGAAACACACCTAATTTTATTTTAAATACTCCTTTGATAACAAGACCTCTCCGTTGCTTGTTCCCTGACCAGTCTCTGGTCGCTGACATGCTTTCCCAGGACGTGCTATTGAACTATCTAGTGGGTTACAAAACATAGGACCAAACACAAGCTCTAATGGAAACATGCCTTTCTCTCCCATGTCTGATGCTGGTTTCCTCAAGGACACAACGATGCCACCTTGGTCCATCCAGCTCCATCTAGACCTTTATCCTCAGTGCAGTTACAAGCAAAGATAAAATAGGGCCCTGTCCTGTACTTGCTGCCTAATATGCTCCTGGCTTCTGCTGATTTTCCAACTCAAGGATTTTGAAGACTTAAATATTAAGTCTCTGAACTGGGCTTGGTTGCAGCAGTGGGAATACCTCCTTGGCTCGGTCACAGGGCTCTGGTAATGTCTAGCAGAAAGGCAATGAGAAACCCTGGGGCAAAGCTCAGCCTGGGAGGGAGAATGACAGTTGCACCAGCATAGAAGGAGCGGGAAGAGCAAATGCAGTCTCTTGCCTGCCTGATGGAGAGTTTGTATGATCCAGTGTGGGAACTGGGGTGATGGTGAATACGGAGTGACTGCAAGAAGAGCCGTGGACCCTCGGTTCAAGGCAAGAGCCATTTGATCCCAGGGATATAGGCAGCAAGGGGAGAAAGAGACTGGAAAAGGCAGCATGAGAGGCAGTAGGGGAGGAAACTTGAAATGTGCTTGCTTTTTCAGTGCAGTCTCTAATACTTTAACCAAAATTTAAGAGGTGAAGGGGAGGGGAAAAAAATGTTATCTGAAGAAACCAAAGACTTCAACCTGATAACACTAACAGCAGAGTGCGTGTCAGAAATAAGCATCCATCCCGACCATAAACGCTAAAGCCCTCAGGTTAAGAGGGTAATGTACAAGCTGTGTTGTTGAATACTGTTTAAATTAACATTAATCTTCCAGCAATCAGTCCTTGTTGCTGTTCAGAGCCATTTTGCAGAAGCGTGGGTAACCTCTAATGGTTGCTTTTCAGCATGGTACTTGATTAGGGGTTAAGGAGAGATTTATTTCCTTCCCTTTGTGTGTTATCTGCTTTGCTCTTGCCCTTCTAGCAAAGGGCTGTGGGCATCGGGGTCACTTTTGAGCACCCATGGGACGAGGATGTAGCAAGAGAACAGGTGGCAGCAGGGCAGTGCCAGGACAAGCCGGTGGCAGGACATACTTCTGTTGCGTTGGCTTCCAGAGAAGGGTCTTGCTCTGGGAAAGTCCTTTCAGCTCCATTTTAATTGTGATGGGGTGTAAAGGAGATGATGCTCCTGCTCAGAGCATTTAAGTGTTCAAGGGCCACTGCTGCTTATCGTAAGATTGCTGCATGCTTGTGACCTGCTTCGCAGAGCAGGGAGAATGACACCCCACCTCTCCTGCAGCTGTGGAAGCAGTTTGGTTTGCATCAAAAGGCAGCTTCTGGTTACCCTAATCCTGTCGATACCCATGCAGGACAGGAGGGAGAGGTCTGCACTTTATCAGAGCCAAAACCATTAGCCTAGTAGAAAGGAGGTTGCTACTGTGAGGATGTATCCTGCGGTTCATGTTTCCATTCTGCCTTCTGTGCAAGAGCTGAGGCATCCATCCTGCAGAACCAGAAGCAGCACTTGGTGTACGTGCCCTCTGCCAAAGCTCAGAGTGGTAAATACAGAAGAAAATAAAGCTGCAACTGCAACAAAGCCCTCGGGGTTACAAAGAGCAGCAGAAAAGCGAGGGAGCTGGGGGGCTTTGTTGTATTCCAGGTGATGGAGCCCAAGCTGTGCAGAGGCATCAGTGCTGGGGGGTATAAGATTCTCTGCTGTGATGTGTTGTTAGGAAAGTCTGTGGGCAACCACACCTGGGTCTCATGATGCAGACGTGCCCTAGGGTGTATCTGCATGAGGAGGGAATTTATGTTTTGAAGTATATGTTGAACAGTGTTGCTTCTTTTCCACCTAAAATGTGATGAAAACTAAATTGGTGTTTGCTCCATTTTAAAGGGCTAATGGTGAAATGAAATGCGTATTGTATTTCAGCTTAGAGGGAGATACAGTGGACAACAATTCCAGCAGGTAGCTTGAAAAAGAAATAATTACCTGGACTGTTCAGAAATTTTGACCCAACTACAACTGTGAGAGACTTAATACTGTTGAATAATTCTATTTTTCTGATAGAAATCCTTTCTTCCCCCCCCCCCCCCCCCCCTTGTTTTTTCAAGGACCAAGATAAAAACAAACCGCTGTCCACTCTGGCCAACCTGGCAATCACCATCACAGATGTGCAGGACATGGACCCTGTCTTCATCAACCTTCCCTACAGCACGAACATCTATGAGAACTCGCCTCCGGTAAGGGCTGCTGCTTCACTCAGATGCACATGACCACAGTGTTGTGCCGGGGACCAAGGGAGTGTGGAGCAGGATACAGGACAGAAAGCACAAGGTATCCCAAAAGAGCTGTAGGAAAACTTCCTCTTTGCAGAGATATTCGTCTTTCCTTCCATCCATCACAGGTTTGCATTGCTCTGCCCTGATGTTCGCAGCTTGGGTGCGAAGAGGAGCCCTGTTTCCATGCTGAAGTGCAAATGCTCTGAATGATGAGATCCAAATGACATCCAAAGAGAGGCAACCCTTTTTCTTTCTGAAACAACATGTTTCAAGGCAGCTCCAAAATACTTTGCCCTTTTTAAGAAGGGAACTTAAGTAAGGAAGTTTAGGAATCAAATGTTTTCCTAAACATTTTTTCTTAGATTTTAAAAAGGCTTTATGTTGCTCTTAGCACACAGTCACCCCATTTCCTCCCCACAGTGTATATGCATGCCATTTCTAATAGAAAACTTGAAGTAAAATGTAAACGTTCCTGAAATGAGGCAGTTTTGAAAATGCCAGAATCATCAGCCAATTCAGCACTTTGAGTATTTTCCCCCAGGTTTTGCCAAATTGATCCAATCATTTTAGTTCTTCTGAAACTCAGTTTGTCAGCAAACTTGCTGTTTGTAGAAAATGTCTCCCAATCTCTAAATACAGCAGGGCTTTTTTTCCCCGCAGCAGACGATGGGGAGCAGCTTCAGCTTCGGGAGCGGTTTGCTCTATTCCAAGCATGGGTGCCCAGGACTTTCAGTCCAAGCACCAGCCCTACTTAGCAGCATCCACCTTCCCAAGGCACAGCTGTGCATCCCATCACTTTGTCTATAGGGCAAATATTTTTGTGTATAGATGGAAAAACATTCTGTCCTAAAATCACAGTGTGGTAGGCATCCGTACTACACATGCATCCCGTAATGTCTCTGGTACACTGGGTCCAAAGCACCTGATGACTCTGTCTGTGCAGTGGTAGAGGGAGCTCCAGGTCACTTCAGTTTATGCCTTTATTCACTTTGGAGCAAAGTGCTGGCTCTGATGGCATGGAGAGTGCTGGATGAATAGGGCTGAGTCCTACTGTCACAGCTCCTGTGGTCAGACAGTACATTACCTGTCTGCCAGCCCGAAGATGGCCAAAAAATTGGCTTCAGGAATTACTTTCATGAAGTGAAAGTTTCAATGTATTTCAATGTTGTTGCAGTTAAGGAGTATTTCTGTGAACAGTGTGAGCTGCAGGGAAGAAAAAATGCTACTTAGATCACCCTTAACAGGGAGGGAAAAACCTTATGAAATTATAGAAATGGAAGTCTCACAAGTATCAAAAATTATAGACAACATCACCTTCATGGAGCGACCTGGTATCCAGGAAAGGGGATCTCAAATTAGCAATATATATTGAGGCTGGAACTCAATGATCTCTTTGTGTTTATACACCAATGTGCATCACAGTTATTTCCAGAACATACACTGTTTGCAGTAGACAAAGCAGCAAATAATCACTCTGTAACCTGAAATGGGGAATGAATGAAGGAGCGTTCACCAAATTGTTAGCGGTTTTCTGACAGGTTTAGAGATATTAATTTCCCTTGGCCCCATGTAACATCTCCAAAGTCATTGAGATATCCAAGATACATAGGTGCCACCAGAGACATGGTGAAGAAGACAACTGCTGAATGTGGGCAGTACTCTGAGCGGTATGGCTGTCTAGTTTGGACCCAAAGGACTTCTTGGGAGAAATCTCCACTGCTGGAACAAGGATGTGGCTTGCTGTGGCAAGCCTGGGGTTTAACATTTACATTTTCATCTCTCCATGGGAAGTCTTCTCATCAGCTCTGCCCTACCACCCGAGGGAACCAGTCATATGTGCAGAGTGGAAACTGTGACCCTGCAGAATGGCTTGGTTACCAAAAGGATAACAGCAAATTCAGGTGAGGAGTCTGGGCTTGGCCAACTCCTGTCCAAAAACAGGCTTCCTGGTCAAGCCACCAGGCTGCAGTGCGTTTGTGGGTGATGTTTGCCCTGCCATTGGGCTCAGCAGGTCAAAAGGTGCTTGAGACATCTCATCCCAACCCCAAATCTGCAGAGCAGAGACTTGCTGCTGCTCCATGCACCCGCTCTCTGTCTTTTGCCTCTCTTTTTATCTGTGGTGCACAGCATGTCTGTGTTCCTCTATCGATGTATCAGGTGAGAATACCTCATCTAAAGTGTATACATTACCTAATAAAATCCTTCTTATTCGGGATTATTGCATCAAATTTTAATTTCCTCACTCGAGTAACAGCATGTCAGCCAGCCCGTCAGTGAAGAGGCAATAGAAGGTGAAAAGAGTGGATAAACTGCAGCAAATTACCGCAAACAGATCTCTATCAGCCCTTTGACTGGAATTGACTGGAATTAAGAAGTGAGAAATAGGATTTTTTTTGCCATGGCAGCTTTCTGAAGCGCTCCCCCCTCCTCCTCCTGCTGCAACGCTGGGCTGTGCTTTGCCTTTCAAGTCCCTAATCCTGTAAGAGAAGAAGAAGGAAAAGGGATGGTGGAGGGGTGTGAGAGGGGAGAGAAGTGCCATTGTAGCTCTTATTTTTCTCAGATCAGGATCTGGTAGCATAATTTAGAAGCATTTTGGGCACGTGCTTGTTCGGACACTGAGAAGGAAGAAATTTTATACCAGGCAAAGGAAGAAGATGCAGTGGGGAGAGACTTTGCTGTCCCTGGAGGTGTTCTATCTTCTTTCTGGGCACTTTATCATCCCAGCATGCCTCAGATATCTCTCCCAGGTCACCCGAGTGTACCAAAGCTCCTGCAGCTGTGGCAAAGCTTGGCAGCGTTGTATTTTTCATACTGAGAGGTTTTTTGGGTGTCCATCCTCACAGTGTCTGTAGACTAGATAGCATCACTGATGTTCTCCAGATAAGTTAATAGGGGCTGGAGGAGAGGGGCCATTTCCCCTTGCAGAGATGCTGTTGGTCTGATGAGCCCCTGCTTTTGGAGCTCACCTGGTGCATTGGTGCGTAGTCCAGGCAGCATCACAACTTTATTTTGAGGGTGAAAGAGGAGGAATCCACTCACTAAGAGACAAGCTGAGGCCTATGACAGTGTTTTTCATCCCACAGGGAGCTACGCGAAGGCAAGAAGGGGGGCAAACCCTATTGGCGCTTGGTTGCAAGACCAGCGGTTGTATTCCCTTGCAATAGCGTGGTACAGATAAGTGTCAAAATATCATTAAAATAGTTTTAATTCTTCAGCACCATCCCCCTCCTCCTCAGAAACTCCTTGCATTGAAGAAATAATGTGGAATCAGTGCTATTTTTGCCCTAGAGTCTCAGTAGCTCTGAGTTAATTCTTTCTTACAATATTTCCAGCCCATCAGTGTGAACACTTTATTAAAAGCTCAGGGCTTTATTAAAAAAGGATTGATTTACCCCTGCCCCTCTTCAAAAAACCCTCAGATTTTGTTTGGATAATGTGTGATTCTTTATTTTCTTTGCCTTTTTTTTTTTTTTTTTTTTTACATTCGGG